GACGTGACGCGTGCGGGAATGCGACGTTGCCGTTCAAGAAGCAGCGCGTGCGCTGTTGCCATTCCGTCCATGCGTGATGTCTTGAATCTTGACAACTTGCGAATCATTTCCAGAATATTGTGTTTCTAGCAAGTTAGCACCGGGCGCGCGGGTTTACCCACGGAGTTAACATTAACGATTGATAAAATGTTTTTTATAATGGGATGAGAATTAATGCTTTACATAAAGTGAAAAAAATATCTCTGCGATGTGTCCTTGGTCTGGTGAGGACCTGCGTCAACCGATAGGTCAGGACGCCGTGATTGCAGCCTGCCTGTACTAGTACACACTAACATTCCTTGACTGCAGATTCAAAAATCTTTGTAATGTATGTAAGTAGATACTGATAACACATTTTCTGATACTCTTAGGTACTAATCCATTGGTTTGGGTTGAATAAAATCAGAGAATAGAATTTGATGTATATGTAAGTTATAAATCAGGTGATTAGCGAAGCTACCTACACAATAATGAAACGTAGGTACTACGTACATCTATTGATTAAATCATATTTAAATCATGTGAAACCAGCAACATTAGTATATAATTAGAATATACAGACAAACCATTTAAATTTTTCTTAATTGCTTATTTTACTAGTATTATTAGCATGTATACACATACACAAAGTGCGTCAAGCAGGGTTGCCAACTTTATTTTTTTGGAAGATTGTACCATACATTTTAAAAGATCGTACTTTGAATTAAAAAATAAATGGCAATAGAATGTGGTATTACTATAACTTCAACGCAAAATTTAACCTTTTGGTATAATATTTAAGAATCCGTACACCAATTTAGCAACGAAACTTTACTACGAGCTTTATTTACTAAAGAAAAGGGGCTCGGAAGAGACTTTGTCATAAAATCCACACGAAACAATAAACACCAGTATCATTACAACTTAAACGGGATATTTACCATGTTGATTATTACTTAAAAAAAATTATATTAATAAACACTAGTACATATAACAACAAGTACGGATACTTGTATTATAATGTTTCTTAATGCTTCTTACTCGAATTTTCTTGATTATTAAAGATTCAAAATTAAAAGATGTTTTATTTCACACTGAAGAATGTTAGCACAGTATTTTAGCGTAGTTTTATAGTATTTAGAATAATTTTGACATTTTAATTCAGTAGCAGTCTCCCAGATTTTGTATTAGTCGTGTTGGCAATTGGCAACACTGCTTAATAGAACTTGACTGCACTTGACAACTTGATGGTGGTGTTAGATTAGATCTGCTATTACAAATTTCTTGAAACATTTCATAAATAAGATACATTTGATGTTGAGATTGAATTGCAACTGAACTGCCTAAAATGAACCCGACTAATAAACTTGCGTGTATACGACATAAGTACTATGTATTCAGGGCCGCAAAATTCAAGGAAAAAGGTGCAAGCCGCATTCATAAGACATCATGAAAGTTCTTTTAGTGATCTATAGTGAAGAAATCAGATTACTATAGGATTTCAAATCATATTTACGTGAGTGAAGTTTATTTGATACTCATTGGTTTATGTTCTAGAAAAGGTCGTTATGCTCGATAAGGTTAGTACCTATTATGTATTGAGAAAGTTTTAACAAATTGCAGAATAATGATTGTCACTTTGTTCATTTTAGGTATGCAAACGTCGTAATGCCACGGTCAGAGCGTAGCAAAGGGTGTGCAAGGAGTTTAGGACTTTATTTTTCATTTTCATCAAGAATGAAAATTCTTATAAATGGCTAGTTTTTCATTTCCACTGATTAGTATACCTAATAATAAAGCGAAAATCATCTGGACACCTTTTATCTAGGCCTTATGAGGGTCACAGTTCTAACCTAACCTAACCAAATGTGTTGGGGTGCACAAAAAGTGTTTTACATACTCCCCCAACTGACCTTTAGGGCTCAATTTCAGGCGAACCTGAAGCCTTTTATCTAGATAAAAAGTGCCCAGATAGGTAATAGTCATCTTATTTTTAGGTATACTAAACGATAGAAATGAAAAACCGAGCCACTTATAAGAATTATCATTTTTGATGAAAAAATAATTAAAAGTCCTAAACTCCTTGCACACCCTTTGCTACACTCCAACCAATGCCACACCATGTCACAATCATGTGAAATGCATTCTCTATAAAAATAATATTTGTACTAAAGATATGATGTATGGAAAACAAAATGAACATGTTGCATAGAGCATGTTTATGCAATAATATGGCAAATAGTCAGACCATCAGGACTTTTCATTAATGAAGAATTTGGATTCTTAGTAGCTAGCCCTGATGGTAAAATTATTCGATAATAAAAATATACAAATAACTAGTTTTTGTCGTGTGAATATTTTAAATAGGGTTCAGTAGCGTAAACCTAAAAACTTTTCTTTTTTACAGATATTCAAAATATTCGATAAGCATCAGAAAATAGAAATTTTCCTATTCATTTGGAAAATGATGTTTTAGTTATGAACAAAAAGCATAATTACTATTATCAAGTAAGTATATCATTATTATCAAATATTATTATTATTATTTCATTATTATCAAATATCATTATTTCTTGGTATGTATGTATAAAAATAATGTATTTCTTGGATTGTTTCTTTTTAACAGCTATTATTATTTTGATTCTAGGTCCAGGGTCAATTGCGAATTACCAAAATGAATAAATGTTACTTCATTTGCTATATATCAGTCACCCAACCATTGACTGTCATAGAAGTTAACCAGAATGAGGAATTTATCAGTACTATGATGCCGAAGTTGGTGACAGTTTTTAAAAGATGTGTACTGCCGGAAATTATTTTGAGAAGAGTTGAGAAAAATGCTAAATGTCTGGACATCAAGGAATTAAAAGGTATAAAAATATAAGTCTTATTCATTTCCTAACTTATTTCTCAGGGCTCTGAGGTGTGGGTTCAGTAAGAATAGTCTAACAAAACTGTGTAAATTCATTTGTTGCAGCGAAAACTGCGTCTTCCAGCATTTGATTCAGATTGCACGGAAATTATAAATGGAAGTAAAAAGCGATAAACAGAAGACTGATATGGCGCGGCGGCGGCGGCGGTGACTGCAAAAAGAAGACATTTTATTATAGTATATATAAGAGTCTTTGTATGGTGGTACGAGTTGATTGTTCGAATCCAAGCCGGCACTTTGCTTTGTGTAGCCTGATTCTCAGCAGTGTGAACATTATAGAATAATTAATAAGCTATTTTTGCACGTAGCTATGTATAGTTTGTGTTATTTTGTTAGTCCATAAGATTTTTCTGTGTAGATAAGTTTGCCTCATGCATTTAGGTACCAGCCTAACAATTCAATTGTAAAACAATATTTATTGAAGTTCAAAATTGTAAAATAAATAGGTATTCTTGAAACATAAATAAATGTTATGGTTAGCTAGCAACCACTTGTGCGATGTATAGTTTGTGTTATTTTGTTAGTCCATAAGATTTTTCTGTGTATATAAGTTTGCCTCATGCATTTAGGTACCAGCCTAACAATTCAATTGTAAAACATTATTTATTTAAGTTCAAAATTGTAAAATAAATATGTATTCTTGAAACATAAATAAATGTTATGGTTAGCTAGCAACCACTTGTTGTTGATTTTATGACTATAATGTTATACTAATTAATTGAAGTAAATAAATGTAAGATACTTGCAAACTTACATGTACCGTTATATATACTTATGATGTTATTTATATTGTGATCTACATACATAATAATTATTTCTAATACTAAATTTAAAATTATAAAACTAAGTAAATATCAAAACAATCAAAAAATTATGTTATCTTTGTATGGTGGTATGACTCCATGGTTTGAATCCAAATGGAAACTATCTAAGTAAATGTAGTGAGAGTAAATAAAACGATTATTTTTATGAAAATATTAACCCTATTTTACTAAATAAATCTTATTAATTTATAGTAAGATACAATAAAAAGCTTTACAATGGAATAAATAGTCTTTCATTTATTTATTTAGTAAAGTCACTATTTACACATTACAATTTAGGTTCAGTCACATTACAACAATTTTTTAGGTGTAGGGTCTTTTTTTTTTTTAAGGGGGGAAAAATCATCGAATGACTGCTCCCGCCTGGGTGAGGCGGAAGGGAGTGTCAGACTCTTACTGACTAAAAACCACCCCGTTCCTTCTCCTGCACGTCGAGCCGGAGCCCCGGTTACCCGTTAGGTTCTCCGCGACAGGTGTAGGGTCTAGGGGTATAGTATATAGTGTACAGTGTACCTATTTTACCTAAAATAAATTTTATGAATAATTTGCTAGATATCGAGTCTAGAAACAAAAGTATACTTAGACCAATTATTATACTAATAAGAAATAGATGGGAACATAATTTCAAGTATGTAAATTAATATTTTTATAGTATAACGACATCTGGTGGTGTCGAAAGTTACTACTATTTACTTTGCATGTGTGTGTAAACAGTAAAGTGAAGCGGCTAAATCTTTATTTTGTAGTAATCTTTGTATGAGACCAGATAACAAGCACAACGACTATCTAAAAAATCAAGTTAATGCCCTAGGTTTCGCGAACAATAAAGTTATCTATTAAAGATTTCGAAGTTAGGCGTAAAACGTGAAAATGTTCCAATTTGTGGAAGTTACGCCATCTAGCGACAAAATGGCATTTGAGATCATCATCCATCCACCTTAACACACACAAACTCAAACACGTAATTGATATTATTCCTAATTCCATAAAACTTCAATAAGAAACATTGCTGTCGCTTATTCTGTAGTACTGTCGAACTTGAAACGATTTATTAAAGCCGTATTTTTAATTATTGGCCCAAAATATTCTCTTAGTTTGAACCTTTATGACTTCTGTGACATGCCCCCGAAAAACGTCACGGTTTCAAAACTACACCTTGTATATTACTTAGTCTTAATTATACTAAATACAATAATTATGTTAACTGAATCCTTCTTCTGTGTTTTCTAACTGTTGTGTTTTGATTTTCTGTCTCTTGATCGATGGGAGGGATCTGTAACAAACATGATAATAATACTTTTATATATGAACACAATTCTAACTAGTGCTATATATTATTTTACTAGCTACTTCCACGCGGTTTCACACGCCGTGCTCAGCTCCTATTAGTCGTAGCGTGATGTTTTACAGCCTATAGCCATCCCCGATAAATGCGCTATCCAACACAAAAAGAATTATTCAAATCAGACTTGTAGTTACGGAGATTACCGCGTTCAAACAAACAAACAAACAAAAAAACAAACTCTTCAGTTTTATATAATAGAAGTAAGTAAGTATAGATTAATTTTATTTTCAGCCGTGATCGTCCCACTGCAGTACAAAGGCCTCCCTACTCTCCTTCCACTCCTCTCTATGAAAAGCTTTTTGCGGCCAATCCTTGTCATAGATGTCTAATTCGTTTTTTTATGGCATAAGCCGGTAAACGAGCAGACGGATCACCTGATGGTAAGCAATCGGCGTCGCCCATGGACACCTGGAACCCCAGAGGCGTTACAAGTGCGTTACCGGCCTTTTGGGGATTAGGATTTTGAGGATCGTTGGGGATTTAGGAATTGGGAAGATTGGGGAAGGGGAGGGTAATTGGGCCTCCGGTAACCTCACTCACACGACGAAACACAACGCAAGAGTTGCTTCATGTCGGTTTACTGTGAGGTGATGGTATCACTCCGGTCGAGCCGGCCTAAATCCAATTCGTCGCGCCATCTCCTTTTGGGCCTGCCGCGTCGTCTACTGACGTTGAGTGGGCTGCACTCAGTAGTAAGTTTTGCCCCCTGCTCGTCTGACATGCGGCAGACATGACCAGCCCAGTTCCACTTCAAGCCTGCGGCTTGAAGTAGACATACAGGCAGACAGACGAAAATGCAAGTAGTTACATCCCTGCTATTTATATTTTTATTAGGTATATGTATAGATAACTCACATGTTCGTAGTTTTCCTTGTGGCTCAGTCTTCAAGTATAATGTCTCTAAATGTTCAGTCTCACATTGAAGCTGGCTGTAATATACAGAATATACATATAGAACTGAACTGGAAACATTCATAAAGTGTTTTTTTTATGGATTTTTCGGTTTTCTACCGGATACATTTCGGGGAGTGTGCGGGGGAATTGCACAACTTGATTCCCCCTAGTCCTTTCCATCATCGTACCACAAGACAATCCGCGAAGCGTCACCGATTCATGGTAGATGTTCCGCCCACACGCACGAAGCGCTTCGCTTCAAGCTTCCTTGTGCGTACTGCTAAAGAGTGGAATTCTTTGCCAGAGTCTGTATTTCCTGAAGGGTATAACCTGGGAGTCTTCAAGGCCCGAGTGAATAGGTTGCTTATGGGACGACGTGCTCCATCGTAGACCGCATCATCGCTTACCATCAGGTGAGATAGTGGTCAAACGTCGCCCCATCAAATATAAAAAAAAAAATTTGGAGGCAAACGAGCAGGCGGATCACCTGAAGTTAAGCGATCAGAGTGCCAAGCATGAATAACTATCGCATTCGTAACGTAATAGTATCGAGCGCGTTCGGCGCTCTGATTGGCCGGCTCAAGTGAACCAACCAATCAGAACGCTTCACTCGCTCGATACTGTTACGATACGAATGCGATAGTTATTCGTGCTTGGCCCTCAGTACCGCCCATGGACACCCGCAACACCAGAGGAGTCACAGGTGCGTTGCCGACCTTTAAAAAAGGAGTACGCTCCTTTCTTGAACTTTTTTTTTATAATTACTATCGGAAGATATACTAAATAACGTAAATAAACACGTGACTATACTGAGAAAAGGTTTACTAATTGGGTAGTTTCCGGGGTAAGAAAATTAAAAATCTAATTAGTCCGTCAGTTAGATAATGAAACAATACTAGATACGTATTTTTTATTTTCCACTAGCTTTTACCCGCGGCTACGCTCGCGTCACAAAAGGATAAAAAGCGCCATCTATACTGTGATGTAGACTGTTGGCAACACCGCATTGCATGTGTCAACAGTCTCTCAATAGATCTGTTACGCGATTGACGTAGTTTTACTGCAGTCGAATTCCCGGGGTTCCTAGTGTCCAGAGATCCTTCATACTTATACCAATACTTTTGTTTTCCCTCGGGAATATCAAATTTTTCCGGGATAAAAAGCCTATTATTTAATCCGGACTTCTAACTTTACGTCTGCAAAAATTCAAAGCAATCGGTTTAGTAGTTACGGTGTGAAAGCGGAACAAACAAACAAACTCACTTTCCGATTTACAATACCTAGATAAAATGGAACTAAGTTTAGGAGTGGGAGGAAGTTACGTCACAGCGTGCTACAAAATGTAGCACGCTGTGACGTCACACGACATTTCAAATTAATATATCGTCGAAAGCATTTAATTTTGTGAGAAAAGAAAAAATACGTGTCTAATGTTTTAAAATAATCTACCAGACGGACATTTAAATAAAAATTAGGAAAATAGCCTATTACAACCTAAAAAGGTTGACTTTAAGTTCCATAGAATCAGCCATGCTATTTTATGTAGCATTGCATTATTAGTATGTAGGTAAGACAATAAAGATAGATTCAGTACAGAGACAGTGGCTATTGTTGTACTAAATTGTATGCTTTGTAACGAAGCCATATCTTTTGTAACCATTGGTCGGCTCTAGACAACCGATGGCTACTGTCTTTTTTATGAGAAACCGGTAAACGAGTAGACGGATCACTTGATGGTAGACAATCGGCGTCGCCCATGGACACCTGGAACACCAGAGGCGTTACAAGTGCGTTACCGGCCTTTTGGGGATTAGGAGTTTGAGGATTGTTGGGGTTTCAGGGATTAGGGGGTTTAATATCCGCGGATACCGCACGATCTCCGGGGAGGCGGCGAACCTCCTTGCCGGATTACCGCCGTGGGATCTGGAGGTGAAGGTGCTCGCGCGTGTGTATCGCATGCGCGCGGAGGCACGTCGCCGGGGCGAAACTCCGCAGCCGCGCCAGATAAGTGCGTGGCGGGATGAGCTCCGGCGCGATCTCATGGCGGAATGGCAGCAACGACTGTCGCAACAGAGGGCTGGGCTCGCTGCCATTGCAGCGGTAAGTCCCCTCTTTGAGGAGTGGCTTGAGAGACGCTACGGCGTCCTCACCTACCTCCTGACGCAGGTCCTCACAGGACATGGAAGTTTCGGGAGGTACCTGTGTCTGATGGGGCGGGAGGAAACGCCCGGGTGTCATCACTGCGAGGACCGCCCTGAGGACAAGGTGGAACACACAGTGGGAGAATGCCCTGCGTGAGCTGAGCACCGCCGTACCCTCAGGGAAGTGATCGGCGATGGCGACCTCTCGCGTCCGGGCCTAGTGCGGGCCATGATGCGGAGCGAGGGAGACTGGGATGCCGTCTCCTCCTTTTGCGAAGCAGTCATGCTAGCTAAGGAGGAGGCGGGACGCGAGAGGCAGCGAAGCGCTGCCTCCTCGCAACCCAGCCATCGCGAAGGACACACCGGGCGTCGGGGATCGCGGGACGATCTCCGGCCACCGTAAGCGCGGGCCTGCGGACGGCAAGGATGGGTGGCTCCCTGTCCGACCAGAAACAGACCCCAGCGTACGGCACGTCGCGTTCCGCGCGCGCCTCAAAGGGCCATCAGACCACCATAGATGGAGCCCAATAGGGCTGTTGCTGATTCAGAGTCGCAGAGAACCTAACGGGTAACCGGGGCTCCGGCTCGACGTGCAGGAGAAGGAACGGGGTAGTTTTTAGTCAGTAAGAGTCTGACACTCTCTCCCGCCTCACCCAAGCGGGAGCAGTCATTCGATGATTTTCCCCTCTTAAAAAAAGGGGGTGTAATAGGGCCTCCGGTAATCTCACTCACATTTCGAAATACAATGCAAGCGTTGTTTAACTATGGTTTTCTGCTGAGCCGTGGTATCACTCCGGTCGAGTCGGCCCATTCGTGCCGAAGCATGGTCCTCCCACACTTGTCTCTGTACCGAATCAATGTTTATTATCTTATCTGTATTATACTTAGTAACTCGACTGAAGCTGGCTGTCTTACTCACTTGCTTGTGTCGTTTTCATTCTGAACAAAAACCCTTTCTTCAAGAAGGTCCTCCATTTGCTCCGACTGCTCTTGTCTGCAACAAAGAAATGTTCTGTGTATATAATCTCTATTTCAACTTCTTTGTTTCTTTTTGTTTTTGAATAACACTTTGCCCCACACTAGGATTGTCTCCTGTGTCGTGGGTGCGTTTACAAACATACAAGCTCACATACACATCACACCCAGACACGGAACAACAATTTGTGGATCACACAAAGCTGCTACGTGGGGAAATCGAACCCGCTACACGATATTGAATGAACTAAATAGTATTGAAATTATTTGAGTTTAGCTTTATATTCCGTACTCTGAATGCTATTTCAACAGCTACCATTATAGTTGTATAGTGTTGACACTGAATCGTCATTGAGATTTTATTGAATTGAAATTGCATTGACATTGAGATTGGTCTCAAGAGTAAACACCCTGAACCAGACCAGAGACCTGAGTGTTCCGCGCGCGCCTCAAAGAGCCATCAGACTACCACGGATGGGGTCCAATAGGGCCGATGCCGATAAGGAACCGCAAAGAACCTAACGGGTTGCCGGGGCTCCGGCTCGCAGGAGTAGGAACGGGGTGGTTTTTAGTCAGTAAGAGTATGACACTCCCTCCCGCCTCACCCAGGCGGGAAAAGTCAATCGATGATTTTCCCCCATAAAAAAAATCAGGTGTCCATGGGCGACGCTGATTGCTTACCATCAGGTGATCCGTCTGCTTGTTTGCAGCTCAATGTTATACTACAATGACTTACTCTAGAGATGATGATGGTTCCTGTACAGGTATCTCAGCTACATCAGGCTTGGTGTCCTCATTGTAAAGGGGATTTTCCTCACTGTAAAATATATAAAACTATTTTTTTTCAAATCAAATCAAAATTATTCGCAAAAACATGTGTATACACACACACACACGCAGCTGCATGTATGTAGGATGATGAAAAATAGAATAGTTGCTCTTAATACATGTTTACGACTTTTCATGGCCTGCAAATTTTTTAATAAGTAACTAGCGGACCCAACAGACGTCCTGCATATCCACTTGAATGTAAATAAATAAAATAAAAATTTCTTTATTTCTCCTCACATACACACTTAACAGCATTACAATTTTTTATAATCAATTTTTATGGCATTGTGAGGAGCTAGAGTCTGTGTTAGGTGTAAAATACCTGTATTACAAATCTCCAGGTCCCCACCCCACGGAAGAACAGGAAGTGTAACATAATAAATATAAGATGTATTACAATTAAGTTTGCAAACATAAACACAAAGGAATAGGAGAAAAAATATATTTAGGGTAGAAGAAAAAAAAGATTATTCACAACATGCCTAGTGTGTGTGTTTCTATGCTGTGTAACTGCGAGTGTATAATGCGTGTAGTGTGTCTTACTCACTTGCTTGTGTCGTTTTCATTCTGAACAAAAACCCTTTCTTCAAGAAGGTCCTCCATTTGCCCCGACTGCTCTTGTCTGCAACAAAGAAATGTTCTGTGTATAATCTCTATCTCAACTTCATTGTTTCTTTTTGTTTTTTAAATAAGACATTGCCCTACACTAGGATTGTCTCCTGTGTCGTGGGTGCGTTTACAAACATACAAGTTCACATACACATGACATCCAGACCCGAAATAACAATTTGTGGATCACACTAAGAGTTGCTACGTGGGGAAATCGAACCCGCTACACGATATTTAATGACCGAAATGGTATTGAAATTATTTGAGTTTGTCGTTATATTCCGGACTCTGAATGCTATTTCAACAGCTACGATTGTAGTTGTATAGTGTTTACATTGAATAATTATTAAGGTTTTATTGGCTTGAAATTGTATTGACATTGAGATTGGTTTCAAGAGTAAACACCCTGAACCAGACCAGAGACCTGAGCGTTCCGCGCGCGCCTCAAAGAGCCATCAGACTACCACGGATGGGGTCCAATAGGGCTGATACGGAGCCGCGGAGGACTTAACGAGTTACCGGGGCTCCGGCTCGACGTGCAGGAGAAGGAACGGGGTGGTTTTTAGTCAGTAAGAGTCTGACACTCCCTCCCGCCTCACCCAGGCAGGTGAAGTCAATCGATGATTTTCCCCCCTTAAAAAAAAACAGGTGTCCATGGGCGACGCTGATTGCTTACCATCAGGGGCATCAGGTGTTATATATGTGTATAATGTTATACTACAATGACTTACACTGGAGATGATGATGGATCCTGTAGAGGTACAGGTATATCAGCTACATCAGGCTTGGTGTCCTCATTGTAAAGGGGATTTTCCTCACTGTAAAATATATAAAACTTATTTATTGTGTTTTTGTTGATCTTATACTATTATATAATTCGGTTCTGGGGCCGCTCCTGTGGAACATCGGCTATGACTGGGTACTGCGCACCGACCTCCCGAACGGGGTTAGCATCATATGCTACGCCGACGACACGATTTAATGGCGACAGCGGTTGCGACAGTCGTTGAAAGAATCCGGCAGTTGGGACTCGAGGTGGCGCTCCACAAGTCCGAGGCCATGTGCCTTCATGGCCGCGGGAACGCGCCACCTCCTGATGGGTCTCAAATAACGGCGGGAGAGGTTACCATCGGCGTCGAGACGACAATAAAGTACCTGGGACTCGTACTCGACAGTCGGTGGAACTTCGTGGAGCTTTGTTAGTTTTCTTGATAAAATTAGTAGTGAATTGTAGTTTCTCACGGGTTATTATTAAGTAATTGTAATTTTCTGTACATCATTTTTGTAAATCTTTTTCCTCTACCTCACACTTCTGAATATCTTTCGCTTAATCATGCTTTTAACTCGTTGAGGACCGTAGCCGACTTTATGGACACAATTAAAGAACAATAGGTTGCGGTCACAGGTGATCGCGTGGTGTTTGACAGTTTAAATTGTACCACGCTGCCTAGACTGCCTCATCTCCACGACTACTTAGTGCTAGGTTACCACTTTTCCTTCTTAGTATGTTGAGTGGCAGTCGGGATATTGCAGTCGCCGAATGGATTCGGACTTTTTCTGATGCAAGCAAATAACGAATTCCAGGGTTCCCGCTCTCCACGGGACCAGAACCAGTTCCCGCCGAAGCTGCTAAAAACCGAAGCTACCCCCGCGACTCTGTCGGACATCCGCTAACCGGGACGCCGACTGTGGTACCCGCGCTTGCAGACTACTAATGCAGGATAGTGGTGTTCCTTCCAGCGAATTATAATTTTACGTGCGCTCGATATTTCGTTCGCCCGGCTCAACCGAGTAATTGTAATAATTATTTATTTTTTCTCTCTTGACTGCCTCGTTGGCCGAGTGGTCGCAAGTGCGACTGCTGGGCAAGGGGTCTCGGGTTCAATTCCCGGGTAGGGCAAAGTATTATTGGGTTTTTAAAAATTCTCAGTAGTAGCACGGAGTCTGGAATTGTGCCGGGTATATGGCAATAGGCTCACCCTCTATTACATGGGACTCATAACACAAATAGTGAAAAGTGGGTGTTACATTGTACAGTGGCATAATGTGCACCTCTGCCTACCCCTTCGGGGATAAAAGGCGTGATGTTATGTTATGTTATTTATTTTTTTCCTAAAATAAATTTGTTAGCCTACCTTAAACTTTTCTTTCTTTTATTATTTTTTTTTTATTCGTTAGCCGTGCTACCTACCGCCTACGCGACAGTGGCGCCCAACGTGGGCCTAAAGTCGGCTGTCTTACTCACTTGCTTGTGTCGTTTTCATTCTGAACAAAAACCCTTTCTTCAAGAAGGTCCTCCATTTGCCCTGACTGCTCTTGTCTGCAACAAAGAAATGTTCTGTGTCTAATCTCTATTTCAACTTCTTTGTTTCTTTTTGTTTTTTAAATAAGACTTTGCCCCACACTTTTTTTTTAAGGGGGGAAAATCATCGAATGACTGCTCCCGCCTGGGTGAGGCGGGAGGGAGTGTCAGACTCTTACTGACTAAAAACCACCCCGTTCCTTCTCCTGCACGTCGAGCCGGAGCCCCGGTTACCCATTAGGTTCTCCGTTTGCCCCACACTAGGATTGTCTCCTGTGTCGTGAGTGCGTTTACAAACATACAAGTTCACATACACATGACATCCAGACCCGGAACAACAATTTGTGGATCACACAAAGAGTTGCTACGTGGGGAAATTGAACCAGCTACACGTTGCGTGGCAGCCGGTTGCCCAGCCACCGCGCCAACTGTGCAATCAACATCTAAAGCTGAAGAGTTTTGATTGTTTGAACGGGCTCAGTCCAGAACTACTGGATCGAATTGAATAATTCTTTTAGTGTCGAAAAAAATGGTGAAGGAAAACATGGCATGGAAACCTGGGCTTACAATTTCTAATTATAAGTTTGTAATCGCTAACCCGCATTGAGCAAGCGTGGAGATTAATGCTCAAACCTTCTCCGTGCGAGCAGTAGCCGCTCATAGGCTGATGATGAATTTGAAATGAACCAAGGGCTCGTACACAAAACTGCGATGCGACGTCATTTCGCAAAAAAATCCGACTTCAAAAACTAAAGACAAACGAAAAGTAAAAACTAAAAAGGAAAAAAAATAACTATTTTGGTTATTCATACGTACTTCTAGCTTACACACCCACTGATAGGTTAGAAGTCGGTACCTCCTCCTCCCATTTTTTGAAGTCGGTTTAAAATATGCGAGCTCCCTCTACGCATCGCAAGAACTTGCGAATTGATTCGCATCGCGCATCAAATCTTATCTTCCCAAAATCTTCTTTGTTTCTTTTTTCTGTATCTCCTAAGCAATAACAGAAGTGCACACTTCGTTTTACGATCCATGTCACGACGACGCCTTCGAAATGTGGTGCTGGAGACGTATGCTCCGTATTCCCTGGACCGCTCGTCGCACCAACGTCTCCATTCTCAAGGAGATCGGAATTACTACGAGGCTGTCCACTGTATGCCTGCAGCGAATATTAAATTATTTTGGCCACATTGCGCGTAGAGACCACAACAATCTGGAGAAGCTTGTGGTTGTTGGTCGGGTTAACGGGAAAAGATCTCGCGGTCGCTCACCTACCCGGTGGTTGGATGCTGTAAAAAACCTAACCGGCCTGACAGTTCCACAAGCCATAAAGACCGCAGAGGACAGGGGCGTTTGGAGGAGGGTTGTGCATCAAGTGACGCGTGCACCAGACTAGACACGACCTTCAGTAATGAAGAAGACGACTAGGAAGGAAGGAAGTCACGACCTAGTTTTCAATTTAAATTAAAATACGTTTAGTACGGTTGACGGTCGTCGAAGGAATGGTCACCCTGGGAGACGCCTTGTCACACGAAATCGCATCGCAGCAATTCGCATCGTAATTTTTTGCGGTGCGAAATCACATCGCATCGCAGTTTTGTGTACGAGCCCCAAAATCTAATATTACTTACTGTTCCGGCGATGGTGTATTTGATTTCCTTTTCCGTATTCTCCATCGCTTCCTGGCTGGTGCCCCAGCATACTGCGCCTGATGATGTACTTCTAATGCTCGTTCCACGTCATCCTTGCTGACACCGCTGCACAGAGCCGTGCGCTTTTGGAGCTGTGTATGTGACAGTCCTGCATTCGTACTAGCAAAGTACGAGTAGACCCGAACTAGCATCGCGTTTAATTTCTCCTGTAAATAAGGTATAATTTTGCATAAATAATGTGTAGGTGTAAAATGATGTGGTAGGTTTAAAACGCGGGTTAGAAAACTACTAACGGAAAGTACTAATGTGACTTTTCCGAGTTATACATATGTACTTTCAAGATTATTTAGACACCACAGATAAACGATTTCTGGAAAGTTCCCTAAGATCGGAAAAGGAGGATCCGCCGACCAGGCGAGGTGATCGTGCCTGGCGGGCTTGCATGTGCGATGTAGGATTTCGTGACGTCATCCGTTGATTTATTTTCATCGATAGACACGCTCATCATCAAAAATCGTGAGGAAACCTGTGCTTGTAATTTCTAATTGTAAGTTTGAAATCAATTAAGTGAAATCGCGGGTTACTCACGTGAATATAATGAGAAAAGCTCTACTAGTTTCGAACCACAGAGGGGTTCTTCCTCATGAGCAGCGTGCGCCGCATAACCCACGATTTTACTTATTTAGTATGTCTCACGATAGTTATTATAAAAAGTTTGAAATCACCAACCCGCATTGAGCATGCGTGGTGATTAATGCTCAAAACTTCTCCGTGTGAGAAGGGACTTTGATCAGCAGTGGGACTTAAAGGCTGTTGATCTTGTTTCGCATAGTATGTAGAAATGTTTAAGTATCCTCATGAGGGTGACATTGTCAATTTTGATAAAACCCTTTGTAATTAAAATAAAGAAAAAAAAGAAATGTTTAAGGCATATTCATATAACGACTCCTCCCGCTTTGGGTTAGGCGAGAGTGTCAGACTTTTACTGACTCAATACCACCACTTATGCCTTGTTCACACTACGCTAGCATTTTAGTCGAGTAGCGAATATTCAGTAGTCGTCTCTCGCTTCTGTCCCAAAATGGAAGTGAGAGAAAACTACTAAATATTCGCAACTCGACTAAAAAAACTAGCGTCGTGAACAAAGCAAAGCAAGGCAACTCGTTAGGTCGTCCGCATCAGCCCCGATATTGTAATTACTATATTACAATATTGGGCTTACGACGATATATTGATTTGAAATATCGTGTGACGTCACGGTTTACTACATTTTATAGGGTAGCGTGACGTAACGACCTCCCACTCCTAAACTTAACTCCGTTTTATCTAAGTATTGTTTAGACTTACCAACCTTAATCAAATTCAATATAATAAAATCAAAATAAAATAAATAAAAAAGTGTGGGAGAGCCATGCTTCGGCACGAATGAACCGGCTCGACCGGAGTGATACCACGGTCTCACAGAAAACCGACGTGAAGCAACGCTTGCGTTGTGTTTCATCGTGTGAGTGAGGTTGCCGGAGGCCCAATTACCCTCCTCTTCCCCAATCTCCCCAATTCCTGAATCCCCAACGTTCCTCAAACCCCAAATTCCCAAAAGGCAAACCGGTTCCAGGCCTCCGGTGTTCCAGGTGTCCATGGGCGGCGCCGATTGCTTACCATCAGGTGATCCTGTAGCTCGTTTACCGGCTTGAGCCATAAAAAAAAATCGGACATATAAACGTTCTGTAAATCAATAGGTACCTACTACCTATGCTAAATAATTTTAATACTTTAATGCCGATGAAAGAAGATTCTGGCAAGTATGTTATTTACTATATAAAAATAAGTCGGGTTTTCCTTCCTGATGCTATAACTCCAGAACGCACAAACCGATTTCCACGGTTTTGCATTCGTTGGAAAGGTCTTGGGCTCCGTGAGGTTTATAGCGAAGACAATTCAGGAAAAAATATTTTCTTCAGCTTTAATCACCAAACGAAGCCATCTGGGTGGCGAAACGGAGTTCGCCGGGTTTGCTAGTGCCAAATAAAATTCGGCCTATCAAGATTCTGACAAACAGAAGGAACACCTCGCTAGTGTTGTTAGAAATGAGCTCCGAGGCCGAAACTCGAGTTCCGAGTCGAAGCTACCAAGTTTTCAAGACTCGAGCTTTGAGGGCTCGTAAGCCTTAAAGGCTCGAGCTCTAAAGGCTCGAACCTTGAAGGCTCACTAGCCTTATATGAAGGACTCGAGTCGAAGCTCGAGCTTTATTTATATGCCAGGTAATATTAAAATGAAATATTTTTGTTTTAATGCGGTAAGTACATATAAATAAAATAAAAAGACAGAAAAAAGAAAACTATATTAAACAATGAATTATTATTTGATTTTTAACCATGACGATAAGCACATTGATGCCTGGATGTTTTTGTTGTTCAGACTGTTTCTTTTTTTTGTTATTAAATTACCAGATTTTGAAAAGGCTTGCTCACTAGGAACGCTTGTCGCTGGTATAGATAAAACTTCGAATGCTATATCAGCTAAGGTTGACAACGACAATTCTTTTTGTTTTTTCCACCACATTAATACATTTGTGTTTTCAGGCTCAATAGGCATATTTATGTATCTATCCACTTCAACTGCGATATTTCTAGTCTCCGGTTGCTTGTACACAGATGCAAATAAACTTTTTTTAACTGGGTTAACTTCACTAGAGCTACCTCGTTCATAATTATGTGTTGACAAATTGTCTCCTCTCAATTCTTGTATATTTTGATCTTTGAGCTGAGGGTTTTTAAGTTGAGTAATGGTTGAGTATTGTTCTTTGCTATAAAATAATTGTTATTAAGTCGCGGGTCTAATAGAACGGCAAGTTGTGCCAAATCATTGTTTAAAATCTCAGAGTACTCATTCAATTTTTCGATCATGGCTGTCGCACAATTTTTCATTGTTCCATCTTCTTGTTTGTTAAGATGCTCTGTTAAAACATCAAGTATCGGCACCACATAGTACAAACTTGGATAATTGTGTTTTGAAAGCATAACAGTAGCTTCGTAAAATGGTTGAAGAAAATCTACCAATGCTTCTACGATCTCCCAATTTTCTATAGTGTATGGAGAAAATTCTGTGTATTCCAAACACATATATTAAGTACTCTTTTCATTTTTAAAGCTCTTTCCAACATCATATAAGTAGAGTTCCACCGGATAGGCATTTCTTTTATCAAGTTGAGATGAGAAATGCTTAAGGCGGTACAACATTCCTCATATAATTGTTTTTTCTTAGCAGAAAAAGTTATAAATTTTACTATTTTTTGTACCGGCACAATAATTTCTTTCGCTTCTTCTACACCTTTCTTTACTACCAGATTTAATACATGAGCCATGCATCTTAAATGAGTAATATCCTTAAATTCTTCATTAAACAAAGTTAGCAGTTGAAGCGTTTTAATATTTGTTGCATCGTTATCTGTTGTAATTGAAATTAATTTACCTTGCAAGCCAAATTCCTGAACAATGCTTTTTACTATCTGTCAAACACCAAGCAGTCACCGGTGACCGCGACCTATTGTTCTTTAATTGTGTCTATAAAACCGGTACTCGACGAGTTAAAAACAATTTGCTCGCTTTTGTGAGGAAACAGTATGAGATCAAATTCCAAAGTCATAGAATCCCCCAATATTAGATGTGTAGTGGGCAGTTACAACTATATATGGTTTGTTGGTTATAGATGTCCAAAAATCAAATGTCAAAGCGATCTTCTGCTTCAAGTTTTTGAACATATTTATTATTTGTTGCTTTTTCTCTTTGTATAATTCTTGTATGGAAGATGTAATTTGAAATCTACTTGGTAAACGATACGTATTATTAAGTGCTGATAAAAATGATTGAAACTCCTGTTCTTCTACTATTCGGAAAGGATGCTGGCCTTGTATAATAAACTTTATCAAAAGGTCATTAATGTCCACTTGTTGATTTTTATGTTTTAAGGACCCAGCCTTTTCGTTTTGTTCACTCTGTATAAAATCAACATCACCATGGTGCGATTGATGCCTTTTCAAAATGGAGTGCGATGTTTTTATAGAAAATGTATGACGGCATACCTTGCACAACAATTTGTTGGATTCTTTCTTAAAATGACACCATTTCCAACTAATACGCGGCTTTTTCAACAACATAGAAGATATGAAAGCATTATTTTCTGTAAGCGAAGTATCAGTAGTATCAAACTCGATATCTTCCGATGTTATATTATCTTCTTCGTTCATTTTGTAGATCTAACGATCTTTCACCAGTGACAACTATTATAAAAACTATATTATTAATTATAAACCAAGCAAACTGCACACTGATTTTGACGCGAATGACGTATAGAAGTAATTATTACAATAATATTAATAGTTACGTGGGTAGTTTTAATAACTAGCGTAATATCGCTAGCTGAATTATCGCGTTATTGTAATAAAAATTTGTGTTATAATTTAGTTTTATACAATGAAATTAGTTAATTTTAATTACGTATTTATTACATTTATTTTGGAGCAATGTTGTGTAGTGAGACTTTAAAACAGAGCTCGAGTCGCGACTCGAGCCTCGGAACTAGGGTTCGAGACTGGGCTTGAGCCTTCGAAGTAAAGCTCGAGGCTGCAGCTCGAGCCTTCATAGGAGGCTCGAGCCTTGAATGAGTCGAAGACTCGGGAGACTCGAGTCTTTTAACAACACTACACCTCGCGGGCTATTTATGATGGTGTTTATATAAATACTAGCTTTTACCCGCGGCTTCGCTCGCGTCACAAAAGGATAAAAAGTAGCCTATGTGACATATACCAATACACACAGCGCCATCTATACCAATAATTTCGTTTTCCCTCGAGAATATCAATTTTTCCGGGATAAAAAGTACCCTAATATTTAATCCAGACTTGTAACTTCACGTCTGCAAAAATTCAAAGCAATCGGTTCAGTAGTTACGGCGTGAAAGCGTAACAAACAAACAAACTCACTTTACGATTTATAATATTAGTAAGGATCTCACCGATGTCGTGGTGGCCCGGAGGTTTAAGACGCCCGCTTCTCATGCACGAGGGTGCGGGTTCGAAACCTACTAACGGCAAGTACCAATGTGACTTTTTCTGAGTTATATGTACTTTCTAAGATTATTCAGACACCACTGACAAACGGTGAAGGAAAACATCGTGAGGAAACCTGGGCTTATAATTTCTAATTATAAGTTTGTAATCGCCAACCCGCATTGAGCAGGCGTGGTGATTAATGCTCAAACCTTCTCCGTGTGAGAAGAGGCTTTGCTCAGCAGTGTGCATTTATAGGCTGTTGATGATGAAGGATCTCACCTGCTGTCTATCCTCTACTTCTATATCCGCGCTGCAATTAGGACAGACCACCTTCCCATTTAATATTTTGACTCCCGTATTCGAGTTACGACTCTGAAATAAACAAATAAATCTATATATATACTAGCGGACCCGACAGACGTAATAATAGGTATAGATAAATAACCTCGTTGGCCGAGTGGTTGCAAGTGCGACTGCCGATCAAGGGGTCTCGGGTTCGATTCCCGGGTCGGGCGAAGTACTACTGGGTTTTTATAAATTCTCAGTAGTAGCACGGAGTCTGGAATTGTGCCCGGTATATGGCAATAGGCTCACCCCCTATTACATGGGACTCATAACATAAATAGTGAAAAGTGGGTGTTACATTGTACAGTGGCATAATGTACACCTCTGCCTACCCCTTCGGGGATAAAAGGCGTGATGTTATGTTATGTTATAAATAACCTAGATACCGACTGCAGCGCCATCTGCCGGGCTGATTTGTGAATCTAAACCATTCCCAGATCCAATTGAACACACACAAAAAGTTTCATCAAAATCGGTCCAGTCGTTTGAGAGAAGTTCAGTGACATACACACTCACAGAAGAATTATATATATGAAGATATACAACATGTAACGTAATTAACGCACACCCTCAAACACCCCAATTAGAATATTATGTTATAATCATACATAATACAATATACACTAAATGTTTTAATTTAACATGTATATGCATCCTTACTGGTCTTGTCATAAGGTTTATTTTTCTTTATTTTGTATTAAATGATAGAATTTGTATGAATACAAATAAAACTGCGATTAAAAGTCTTATTGCTTTGACTTACGGTCCATTTGTTTTAACAATACAGGGTTAATATGACAATAATTTCCGTAGTTTTAATTACTTTTGGAATAAAAAATTACCTATACTAAAAATTATATAAATCGATTCAGTTAACGATTCTGAACAAACTACTTTCAGGATGTTCGTTATTTAAGTTACATGTTGTATATATACAGGGTGTCTCACGGCAGTTAGGATTTTGAAATGAAATAAAAGTCAATTTGCATATTTTTGTGAATTGTGTTTGCGCATTTTATTTTTTAAAGATTACATCTTCCAGATGTCTTCCATTTCGTAGCACGCACTCACGGAATCGATTCATCGCATTTTGCATAACGCGCCTAAGCATAGCCGGCTCGATGTCGCGTAATTCTTGTTGGATATTTTGTTTTAGTTCAGCGATATTCCTCGGAGTATTGACGTAAACTTTACTCTTAAGGAGCTCTTTATGGACTTTTTCCTATGGGGGTACCCATAGGAAAAAGTCCATGGGGATCAAATCTGGTGATCGCGCAGGCCACGCAATATCACCAAAGCGGGATATCAATTTTTGAGGAAACAATTCACGAAGTTGGTCCATAGTGGCTCTTGCAGTGTGGCAAGTGGCTCCATCCTGCTGAAACCACGTTCTCGAGCTGTAGGCTGGATGCTCTCAAAGTTGGGGTATAAAATAATTGGATATCATTTGCCGATAAGCTTCACCAGAAACAGTAATCGCAGCACCTGTCGCATTTTCAAAAAAATACGGCCCGATTATTTCATTGACCGAAAGAGCACACCACACTGTCACTTTTGGGCTATGCAGCGGTCTTTGATGTTTTTGTCTGGGATTGACTTTTGACCAAAAGCGACAATTTTGTTTGTTAACATATCCATTCAAATGGAAATGTGCTTCATCACTCCAAAACACAGTATTCAAAGTGCGAAATCTCTCAATGATTGTCTGGCAAAAACTTTTACGTAAATTGTAGTCATTTTCATTTATTTCCTGCACTATCTGTATTTTATAGGGATGGAATTTCAAATCACGTTTTGAAATCCGCACTACGGTTGATTTGGTGACGTTTAAAGCCGCCGCTCTTTTTACCAACTTCAAAGAAAGAAGGAGGTACTATGTTCGGATGATTGTTTTTTTTTTTTTTGTTTGTTAGCGCAGTACTCCGCCGTTTGTGAACCGATTTCAAAAATTCTTGTTTTGTTTGAAAGGGTATACTCCCGAGATGGTCCCATTTCCATGAAGTCAGGATCTGATGATGGGATCCTAGGGAAACCGAGAGGAACTTTCGAAAATTCTATGGGGGAGTAATGCGTCTATTATGTTTTTCAATTACGATTTTTAAACACTACAATTTGATATGGGTTTGGAGTCGACCTGATGATGGAGTCGACAGACAGTCGAGGGAACTCCTCAGCGGTTTATATTAACTACCTTGTGTTTGGGCTTGATTAATTTGTATTGATGAGGACTTTACACCTAGATAGAGTGGGGCTGTCATTAAGGGTCTGATGATGAAGAAGTGTAATTGGTAAGGGAACTCCTCAACGGTATACAGTAACTACCTTGTGTTTGGGCTTGATTAATTTGTATTGATGAGGACTTTACACCTAAATAGAGTGGGGCTGTCAATGAGGGTCTGATGATGAAGAAGTGTAATTGTTAAGGGAACTCCTCAACAGTATACTGTAACTACCTTGTGTTTGGGCTTGTATAATTTGTATTGATTAGAACTTTGCACCTATATATATTATAAGTAACAAAACGGGTATATGTAGCTTTACACTGAAAATGATAAAATAATAAAATAAAAACTGCGTTTAAAAAACCGACTTCAAAAAACCAAAAACCAAAAACTAATAACAAACAAAAAGTCAAAACTAAAAAGCAAAAAATAACTATTAATTATTAGTACTGATAGGTTACCCCCCACTGATAGGTTAGAAGTCGGTGCCATAAGCTCATATCATAATGATATAACTTAATGTCCACAAAATTGTGAATTAGGTACCTATTAAGGTTTTAATGAATAATTTTGTATTAAACTTATGGCACCGACTTTTTACCTATCAGTGGGGGGTAACCTATCAGTACTAATAATTAATAGTTATTTTTTGCTTTTTAGTTTTGACTTTTTGTTTGTTATTAGTTTTGCGTATTGACAAGCGTGGATTACGTCGAACGCTAGCTGCAACTTCGCTTATTGTTTCTTTCGTTCTTGAAGTTCTGCTTGGGCCCGGACGCGGTTGATTTATAGCGGAACCGGTAGCTCGAAACTTGATAAGCCATTTACGAATCAAATTTTCGCTTGGTCCATCGCGTAAACGTCTGATATTGTAGTGAGAACAAAACTGTCTTCGAGCCACGACGTACGATTCTCCGCCTTTCAAAAACGCTTCGATAGCGAACGCGTGGTGCTCACCCGACCACTGCGACATCGTGACTAACGAATCCGCACGAATGACGAAGCTACTGCGTTCCTCCCCCCGCGCTTACTTGCAACGGTTTTTAAAATATTCAAATTTAAAATCCTAACTCTGCCGTGAGATACCCTGTATATAATTATAACGCAAACGAAGCCGCTTGCAAAAACTAGTATTATAAGTATATATCTCATATAGTAAAAGTTAAAGAGTTGCCTACCCTGCATTGTGAGCACTTCAGTGGCCTGTGAAGAGGTACACCAGCCAAATGTAAATGGCGTCTCACAGTCTGTGGGCTGATATATAGTGATTTTGCAATTTCACGGATTGGCGCACAAGGATCTCTTTTATACGTTTCCATTACTGCTCTGTGATGAGTTGAGGAAGCTCCTTGTACTTTAGGACCACGCGCTTCATGTCCAATATTACCAGTAGCTGCAAATCGGTGAACCCACAATTGCACCGACCTCCTCTGTACGTGCAAAACAAATGTTTATTGCTATATAAAAACGAACTGAGAATACATAACTGTTTACCGACAAATATCTATATATACAAAAGAAAGTCGTGTTAGTTACACCACTTATAACTCAAGAACGGCAGAATAGATTTGGCTGAAAATTGGTAGGGAGGTAGCTTAGAGCCAGGAGACCGACATAGGATTTTTAACCATTTTTTTTTTACTTTTTACCGAAAATGACGAACGGGGACGGGACAAAATGGGATTACGCGTACGAAGTCGCGGGCAGAAGCTAGGTTTTTAATGATGTAACTGACAGACTTGTTACGTTATGAATTTGTGTTGTATACGCTATCTACATATGTAATAACTATGTATAATTAAACAATTTGTTGAGTATATATATCGGTATCAACTGCCTCGCTGGCCGAGTGGTCTCAAGTGCGACTGCCGGGCAGGGGGTCTCGGGTTCGATTCCCGGGTCGGGCAAAGTATTACGGGTTTTAAATGTGATGTTATGTTAACACACCTTCACTATACGGCAGAGGGATGCAGGCTGCCCTCCCACCCAGCACCCCGCATGTAATGTAGGAATGAGACGACAGATGTTTGACAGTGTGTCTGTTTGTATGTTCGTTATGATCATGTATGCTACAATTTGCATAGTGTGCATGTCTAATTCCCTATTAAAGTCAGTTTATCCAAACAAAAATTATAAATACCTAACAGTTGCCTTATACAAAGGTCTTATATTGCCTTATATAAAGGTCTTATATTGCCTTATAGAAAGGCCTTATATTGCCTTATAGAAAGGCCTTATATTGCCTTATACAAAGGCCTTATATTGCCTTATACAAAGGCCTTATATTGCCTTATACAAAGGTCTTATATTGCCTTATACAAAGGCCTTATATTGCCTTATACAAAGGTCTTTGATGCGACTGCCAGGCAAGAGGTCTCGGCCTCGGGTTCGAATCCCAGGTCGTATAAAGTATTACTGGGTTTTAAATATTCTCAGTGGCACCACGGAGTCTTGATATGTCCCCAGTATATGGCAATAGGCTCAGTGCGTTTTACATGGGACTCATAACATAAAATAATGGAAAGTGGGAGTTACATTGTGCAGTGGCATTAAGTGCCGTAATGTGCACCTCTGCCTATCCTTTCAGGGGAAGAAGGTGTGAAGTTATGTTTTGTGTAAGAGTAGTGTAGTTACTCACCGATACATTCGTGCGCTTAGCGATTTCGGTATTAGATACACGTTGCTTGTACAACATAATTATTTCAGACTTTTGCTGAGTTGTGAGATGATTAAATTTTGAACCCATAATTTAAATAGATAGTTAATATAAAGTTTATAGTGATTATAAAACCTATGGAGTTCCTTGCTTGCTCTTCTCGATAGGAATCTACACTTTGGAACAAGCAAATAGATTCACTAGAGGACAGACTGACACTTAAAGTTTTTGTTCTATGTTCAAAAGTGCCTTCCTAAGTTACTATAAACTGACTAACACCGAGCGGACACCGGTGACCGCAACCTATTGTTCTTTAATTGTGTATATAATGACGGTACTCTATGAGTTAATGAAGTAAGGTGTATGTACCTACATAATATCTTTTCTTTGAAGGTAGATAGAGTTGTGAATTGTCAAATTAACAAAAAATAATCACTAAGTAAGTATTTTTCTCAATTAAAGAAAAGTTGTGTCAATTTTTCACTTAAGTAAACTTATTAAGAAATACCCAGAATATTTTTACCCGGCTATAAGACCAGTATTATTTATTATAGTTTTTTATTTTATGTTTTATAACGCAATGGAAATCCCCACGAACTTCCCATGTCGTGGGGACGACGCGGGCGTGTGCCGGACTCTTACCGACGGCGACAAAAACCACCGCGGTGTTCCTCCACTGCCTCAAAAAGGGCTTGACTTTACGATTACGATGCCCTTACGATTCAACACACATTATTTATTATTATACATGTAAACACTTAATTTGTAACTAGACGCGTTATCTTAACTTAATAATTAATGACACTAGTATAATAAAGAAACAATAAGGGTGTGCACTTGAAATAAATTAAATTGTTTTCATCACAGAAGCACGTTTGTTTATGCATTGGCGATTCGACATTGAAGACGATTTGTCAATTTGTCATTGTTAATGTCAAATGACAATTTTGACATTTTAAATGTTTATTCTGACGTTCCGCTGTAAGCATAAAATAGGTATACCTGGAGACTTGTTGGTAGCGGTGAAGGTTACGCACGTGCTTTTGTCGTTCCTACGTTTAGTCTGTTAGTTTTAGTGTTTTTATTCATAGTGAAGCGAACTGAAAACCTTTTAGTCCTGTGTTGTCGTGTTTTTATCTGTGTGTGTAATTTTTAATAAGGTATTGGTTGTTGTAAGTGAAGTTAACCACTTGTTCCCCCTTTAATCCTAATCTCCGAAATGGACGAGGAGAAACCACCTGACCCTCCTGATAAATCCCCCCAATATGAAACCGAATCAATCCTCACGATTATCCTTCCTCCCAACACCCCGGAATCTGAAACAATGGAGTTAGAAACCGCGAACAGCAGGAAACGACATGCCGGCTCCCCACCTATCTCCCAGAATAATCCCCCAAAATTGGCAAAAAGTACGCACGGTAGACAGTGCTACACGGCCAGGGATAACCCCCCATATATAGTTTATGTATCCCTTAAGGATTCCCAGACGTCTGGAACCACGCTACACCCTGTTAAGTTTGGGATGTTTTTAATGAAACACAACATTAACAATGTTAAAATTGGTGGTGTCAAACGGCTGGGTAGGAATAGAGTATCGGTCGAGTTTGTGTCTCACCAGGATGCAAACAGTTTCTTAGTGAACGGTATGGTGGCTCAAAACTACGTGACCTCGATCCCACAGTTTAACATAACTCGTATGGGCATTGTAAGGGACGTCCCTGTCGAGTGGACAGAGGATGAAATAATTGGTAATATCAGGGTTCCCGCCGGGTGTGGGGCTGTGATAAAAGCTAGGAGGATGAATAGAAGAGTTACATCTACAAATGGTACTGAATGGAAGCCTACGCAAACTGTAGTGCTAACTTTCGATGGTCAAACCCTACCCAAAAAGGTGTTCTGTTTTTATTCAGCACTGCCGGTGGAATTGTACTCATACCCTACCATACAGTGTTATAATTGTTGTCGTTTTGGGCACACCCGCACCCTTTGCCGCTCCAAGCCACGTTGTTTCAGATGTGGCCAGGATCATCCAGGCGATGGATGTCAGATTGCAGCCGAGATTGCCCATTGTATCAACTGCAATGGCAATCACTTTGCTAACGACAAAGCTTGTCCTGAGTTGGGTCGCCAGAAGAGCATCAAAGCATTGATGGCGGAAAAGTCAATCTCATATACGGAAGCAAGCCAAGTTTTCCCAACTGTTAAAAGGTCTTATGCTGAGGTCTCAAGATCAGCCAACCTTATAGTTTCATCTCCCAACAAAACTCCATCCCAACAAAGAGTGTCCTACAAGAAAACAGTCCAACTCAAGCCTAAATCACATGCGCCCCTCTCTCCTAGCTATGATAAGAAGGCCCATCGGGCCCTTATCCAAGACTACTCTTTCTCCCCGTCTAAAAATGGTTGCGCTTTCCCTGTGGAATCCGGAACCAATACTCGTAGCTCCAAGTACATCCTAAATATAGTCTCTGATATGCTCATGGCAGTGCTAGCAAACCCTGCCCAAAATATACCTGACCACGTCGCACACAAACTTTCTACAATTCTAGATTACATCTGTAACATTCCATCCTCTAACACTGCTTCAGTGGAACGTGAGGAGTACTCTTCCCAGGAAGAGTGACTTACTCCACTTGATAAATAAATTTAAACCATCGATTTGTGGCATTGCTGAGACATGGCTTCAACCGAATATTAATTTCGGGATCCCGTGTTTCAGTGTTGTCAGACATGACAGATCTGATGGTTATGGAGGGTGTGCTTTGTTAATTAATAACAAAGTGCCCTTCACCCAGATCCCCTACCCTTCGTTGGCGATGACATAAATGTTGTCGCTGTTAAGGCTGAGGACATAAATATTTTTGTATTTTATATTGCTCACCCTCATGTTGATCACATTATGTTAATTAAAAGTTTACTAACCTTGGTAAGTGGCCCATTGCTTGTAATGGGTGACTTCAACTGCCACCACTATAGATGGGGTTCAGATGTATGCGATAATGTAGGTATTGAATTAGTAGAGATGCTGGACGAACTCGAATTGTGTGTCATCAATGATGGCAGCCCTACTCGTAGGTCTGCATTTGGTCAAAGAAACAGCTGTGTGGACTTGACCTTCTGCTCGCCTGCTATGGCTGGCGTGCTTAATTGGAGTTGTTTGAATTTGACCTATGGTAGTGATCACTATCCTATCATAATTAAACACCTGTCAAAATCTATTCCAGATAAACCCCTTCCCCCCCTATTAAAATATCGTTTGAATGCAGCTGATTGGGATCTTTATTCAAAATTATTAGACTACCGTATCTCCTTCCTTTCACCAATTAATCCTGAGAATGCTTTGGAGTGTTTCTCAAAATTTTCGGACCTGATAGCCTCCACTGCAGAAGATTGCTTTCCGGTGAAAAACGCACCGAAAGGCAAAATCCCTTCTCCGCCATGGTGGGATAGTGAATGCACTGCCATGATAAGGGCTAGGAATGAGGCTGAAAAGACATATAACCAAGATATGAACCTGGAAAACCTCATAAATTTCAAACGAATTTTGGCTAAGTCAAGGAAATTGTTCAAAAAAAAGAAGAGACAAGGGTGGCAAAGATTTTGTGGTTCTCTGAGCCCATCCACACCAGTATCTACAGTTTGGCAGAGAGTGAAAAATTTCAGGAGCTCCACCAAACCTCCCACTATCTCGATTTTACCCGAATCTCTAAGTAACAGATTTTTAAATAGTATTGCTCCAGTATATGTTCCCAGTGCAGACGAGTGCTGCCAGAGACCCTATGACGAAACACATGAACCGCTCGATTTGGAGTTCTCTTATGAAGAGCTCCAAACGGTACTCAACCATGTCAAGGACTCGGCACCAGGGATTGATGGGTTCCCTTACTCCTTCCTATCTAAGGCAGGAACTAAAACAAAACAATACTACCTTGACTTGGTCAATTTTTGCTTTACTTCAGGTTATATTCCTCCTACTTGGAAGGTTCAGGTTATCATGCCGCTGTTGAAAGCTGGCAAGGATCCTGGTGATCATAAGTCCTACCGACCTATCGCTCTATCGTCCGTACTTATTAAAACTTTTGAACACCTCATTAAAAACCGCCTTGAATGGTTGGTTGAAAGCCGGAGGCTGCTTCCGGCGACTCAGTTTGGCTTCAGGAAAGGTCTGGGTACGGCTGACAGTGTGGGTGTCCTCACGTCAGCCATCCGACTGGCCCTTAGCAGGCAGGAGTCGCTGGTCGCGGTCTTCCTGGACATCTCAGCGGCCTATGATTCTGTCCTCTTACCCCTTCTCAGGCAGAAACTGCAAGAGCTGAGAATCCCGAGTGGGATTTGCCGAATTATAGGCTGTATCCTCTCCAATCGTACCCTCCAATTGAGAACTCCTGAGGATAACCCAGTACAGAGGTCCTCCTGGAAAGGTTTACCTCAGGGGTCAGTCCTTAGTCCTATCCTTTATAATATATATACCTATGACCTCCCCTCCTGTTTAAATTTTAACTGTAATGTCCTTCAGTACGCTGACGATATCGCATTAATGGTCACCAGCAACTCTATAACAGAGGCCGCCCACTCCATCAATGTCTCTTTGTCCTCATTAAACCAATGGCTTCTCAATCACGGGTTATCTTTAAGTGCCCCAAAAAGCTCGGCTGTCATTTTTACACGCAAACGACGCACTCCGGATCTTCGTATAGAGATGGACGGTCAGACTATCCCGATTAAAAGCAGCGCTAGATTTTTGGGAGTTCATCTCGACTCAAAGATGTCTGGGGTGGACCACATAAACACCGTAGTTGGAAGGTGTGAACGCTCAGTATCAATACTCAGAGCTCTGGCTGGGGTATGGTGGGGTGCTCACCCCTCTTCATTGAAGCTCATATACAATGCATTGGTCAGAAGTGTAATGGACTATTGTTGCTTCCTTATTGTACCTTGCAATAAGGAAGCATTAAAAAAACTAGACTCCATTCAGGCCAAATGCCTTAGAATAATTATTGGAGCTATGAAATCATCCCCCATAAACGCTCTTCAGGTTGAATGTGCGGAGCCTCCTCTCAACCTTCGAAGACAATACCTTGCAGACCGCT